TATTTAATTTTTAATATATAATATTAATTTAAATATATAATATTTAATATTTAAATATTTAAAAAAATTTATAAATATTTTATATAAATATTTAAATCTAAATTTTATATATTAAATTTATATTTAATTATTTCAATATAATATTTAAATAATTATATTTTATTATTTATATATAGATTTAAATAATTCATTATTTTTGCCGGTACTCGGTATTAAAAAAAGAAAAAATATGCCGGCCGCGAATGTATTAACAATAAAATCATTAATAATAAAATAGTTAATAATAAAATCAGTAATATAATCGACAAATTTACGTTGAATATATCTATCTAAAGGGGGTATTCTGGTCTTAAAATAGAGAAAACATCGATTTTTTTTTTCATATTTTTAAAGCTTAACCTTTTAATAATATGTCCTTCAAAGGATTCTTCAAAATTCAAATTATTTTCGGAGATATATCTGTTTTAAACTTTGAACGCGTTTTTCTCGAAACTGTTTTTTTTTTTCACAAATGTCAAGATATCTCAAGTTCTACTAAACCTATTTGCTTGAAATTTGGTGAGAGTCTTCTCTATGCATTACTCTATCGTGCAAACTAAAATCTTACAAAATTTTTAATTTTTACTATTTTTAAAAAATTCGGAAAAGTAAAAAAGGTGGTAAAAATAATGTATCTTTTTTCAAACAACTGTAATTTAGCGAAAAAAAACTTTTTTCAATTCTTTTAGTTCGAACGATAGCGGCATTATTTTAAATTAATAATCTGTTTTAATTTTTATTTTATATTACCAGGAGAGCTGCAATCTTGACATTTGCCGCGCGCCGTTTTTTGGGACCCCCCACTTCATCAGCCTAAATCTTTTTCAATTTTGAATCTTTTCACTATTTTTTTTTCCCATGTATTCTCGAAATATTAATGAATATCTTATAACATTATATTTATTGAAAAAATTATTTGTCTTTTTGTTATTACACTTGAAAAAGTACCTAAAATTCATGCCTCTAGACCAGAATACCCCCTAAATAAAAAAAAAAACTATGCATATTTTCCAGGATACGTTTATATATTTTATAAGCATAAATGTCATACAATTTATATATATTTTACGTACATAAAAATAATAATATGTTATCTAAAGAAAAAAAGATTCGTTCATTAAAGCATAAGAATAAAGCAAGGATCTAAATAGTGCCACTCCTATTATCGATAGTTTGTGTACTAAAGAGGCGAGATGCATCTTCGATAACAACGTGACACCTTCTCATCGGTTAGTCGAACATCCTTTTTATTTATACGCAGTGCAATTTCCTTAGGAATGAAGTAACATCTTTACGAGCGATAGCGTACGCATAATGCGCGCAGTTCAAGGATATTGAGTACATATTCACAATTAAATGTTGCGCAAACTCCGCCCAAGTTACGCGTTGGTGGTTAGTTTAAAACCGGGAGACACGTCAGTTACCGATTAATAAATCATATTTCATGCGAGAACATCGATTATCATTATTATCGTTTACATTTATAAATCCATTTCTCTCTCTCGATTTAATTTCAACTCTAATAAATAGCATCCGTTAAGAAAATGAAGATTAAATTAACGTATTTTTTATTCGAACATTAAACATATCATCAGTATTTTAATTTAACAATTTATGGTAGTTTTATCTGAATTTTTATAATTCTTAGGTTATAAATCAAACATTATAAATCATACATAAAAAAAAAGAAATTTTTAAAAGAATAAAATTACGTTTTATACGAACATTAATTATTTTATTATTATCATCTATATTCATAATCATAATTATTGGATTAGCTAATAAATAATAACAGAATTTTTAATAATTTGTATTTTAATATTAAATATAAAAATAAATTCAATATCTTTTTAAAACAAATAAACGAATCTTGTCATTTGGCTTACTAATATTTATTTTTTGTTTTGATTATTTATTAAATATTTCATAACTGTGAACATTGATATATAAACGATATAAAATGAATGTCGATTATATTGGCATTCAAACTAAAATTATAAATAATTTAATATTAGTGCATTAATTTCTACACCTAATAAATATGCATAAACTAGTACCTATAAATTTTTTTATTTTAAAATATTTATAGTATTTTTTCGCTAAAAAATTGTTAGTATTTTATATATAAATAAATAAAATAATACCTATATTTAGATATAGGTAATAAAATATATATAAAAATAAAATAAATAAAATATATAAAATAAATAAAAAAAAATAAAAAAAATAAAAAAAAATAAAATAAATAAAAAAAAATAAAAAAATTATGAATAAAAAAAAATTTATTAATAATTTTTTTTTATAAATAAATTTTATATATCTTATAATAAATATTATCTTTTATCGAAAAAATGTTTAATATTTTATCGAAATAAAGAAAACTAATATTTTATATATTGAAAATTTTGATAGTACTTATTGATCAACCGAATTATTGGTATTATATTTAAACAAAAAGAAGAGGTAAGAAGAAATTGGGTATAATTCAATAACCTCTGTTTTATTATTTATCAAAAATCACTGAATACAATTACAGATAAATTGAAAGTCACGCTTCAAGGATATCCCATCCGCGAAACGACCTTCAATTTACATATTCTCATGTCAACAACCATACACCTGTTAAAGGTCGACTTTGAAGTCATTCATTTCATTTCTCTCTCGTTTCTTCCCTCGTTTCCTTTTAAATACTCCTAAACTGGAGAACAAAAAAAGTGAAAAGAAAATAGCGAGAGAGAATAAAATAACGAAAGAAGGCTTCCTTCCAACCGTTAATATTTCATTTCACTTTTACATGAGAAAACAGCCTTTCTCTTCGTAACCATCCTATCGTTCCCACGATCATCACGCAACGAACGATTTAAACGGAACCGAGTTTTGTCGGAGCACGAATGGGACCACGATGCTTCAGTGGAATATGAGGAAAACAATGAGGAAGATCAATGGACTACGGTTCATTGTTCCAAAACTAGCAAATTTTCTTATGGGAGACATTTTCACTAGATTTGACACGTCATTTAAGTAACAATAACAAAGTATAATATACATATATATGTGTACATTTTCGTCATATTCATGAAGAAGAAGAGAATAAGAAGAAGAAGTGAATGTTGACAATAGTTGCATAAATATAGTTATATTTTTAAAGGAGAGCAAGAGAAACAGGAATTATTTAGATAGCCGACAAGAGTGGTGGTGTGTTTGTAAAGAGAGTTGCTAGTGACTAACGCGAGAGAGTCTCTTTCGTTAGCAGAGTGGTGGGATAACCTTAGCTTCTACGGCAGGTAAGTAAGCACAGTACAGTACAGCGAACGTTTTAACAACATCTGTAAATGAGGGGGAGTGAGGGAAATGAAGGGAAGCAGGTAGAAAAGAGAAAGAACGAGAAAAAAATAACCAAATAGAGAGAGAGAGAGGAATAGTAAATAAAGAGAAAGAGAAAAAAGAGGAAGAAGAAGAAAAAGAAGAAGAAGGTGAAGTTATGGAAGAAGGGAAATAAGAGGTGATAAGGGGAAGGGGAGGATTAAAATGGAGGAGAGGGGGGTTCTCGTTCTTCGAAGGCGCATTCGCTGTGTTCCACGCGAGAACAGTCAGTTCGAGACGAGATCCCGTCGTGTTACCTTCTCTCTCTCTTTTTCTCTTTGTCTTTTTTGTTCACCTACTCGCTCATACACACTCATACAAGCGACGTCGTAACATTGAGCAATCCGCGTGGAGGAGAATCCGAGATCGACCTCCTTCGTCTTGTCGATCTTTCTTAATCGACTTTACGCGTATTCGTGAGGCTTGTTGGAATCACCAAATAGTTCTTCTTACTTAAATTGAGTTAAACAACGTACGGAGGAAATACGCCAACGTTACCAAAATGGCCGCATACTAAAAAACATCGGGAGACTATCGAAGTGGCTCTCCAATAGCAGAGCTTCGAGTCTTTAAAACGACGACGACATGACTTGTCATGACTTTGAACGTTTATTTTAAAAAGAGATAGAGGACACCTTGTCCTTTTCTTCTTTCTCTTTTTTCTCTTCTTTGCTTTTTCTTAACATCGGGTGTTAATTATTTCTTATATTGCTGCTAATCTATCATATAATTTAGGTGGACTTATTACGAGGTAAGAATAAAAATATGTATTTTATTTATACCGTGATATTCTTGTTAATGTATTATGTTGGAAAAATGTGTTCTCTCTCCATAATTATTATTATCTTTTTTTTAAGTATGAATTATATCTCGTATGAGTGGATTGATCAAAATTATCCTTAAAGAATCTTAATTATCTTAAAAGAAAATATATTTAATATAGTTACTACAAAATAATCGTGTTATATGATACAACGTGGATGATAATACTGGATGAAAAAGATAATTTAAATCGATAAATCGCTACTCCTATATGGATTTTAAATCTTGTAAAGAATATTTTAAAACTTACTAAAGTCACTATTGATTGTTATCACTTTAAATGATCTAACAATTTGTTAGCTGAACTTTAAATACTTTCTATTTGTTATATTGTTAAATTTTTATTTTTTATTTTTATACAATGACACTATTTATCGTACTTTTTTTTATTATTTATATTAAATTATATTTTCGTAAATATATCTTGGAAAGAGGATGCGTTATTAGAAGGTAGAAGAAACACATGATTCTCTTGTATTCCTTTCGATTTTACTATTATCGCATTCCTTGCAATTCTCTCTCTTTTTCTCTCTTTCTCTCTCGATGTTTGCAATATTTCCTGGAGCGTCAGAGACCACTTTCATTCGTACTCTTATTGCGGTTGTTCTATCTCTGGTTAAACGAGAAATATCGTGGCGCGCAAAGAATCTCGATATATTGCAACGATCATGGAAGTATTTAAACATTTTTCACAAGTCCAGTAATATTATTTTCCTGGAACGAAAAAGGAAAAGATTCCGCAACTTCTTTGTCTCTATTATTTTATTTTATAAGTTTATCGCAAAGTTTATCTTGTTTAATTACTTTGACTAGATCTTAACATTAATAAATATTGTTTATCTTTTATTTCTACATTAATTTTTTTTTGGTTGAGTTTTATTTAATTTTTGTGTTATTATTTTTTAGTATACATAAAATATGCGTTATAATTATTACCAATAAAAAGAACTATTTTCATTGTTCAATTTTAAATAATAATTTTTTTAACTGCAAGTTAAATTTAAATGTGTTTATTAGATAAGTAAAAAGATCATTAATAAATTTTTAAATACCTAAATATATAATATAATATTAGCTAAACATATGCATATATACAGTGACGGCCATATACTTACGTACACCTAGCAAAATCATATTGAAATCGTTGTATTCATGTTCATTCAAGAGATATACAAAAATCAATTTAATTTTTTTATTAGTCCCTAGCATACATTATTAAATGAAAAAGCAAGGATTCTCAATTGATCATATTTAAAGAATTTTTAATATTTTTCTATTTCTTTTTTATATATTATTTTTATTATTTATTATTTTATTCTCGTGTATTATATGTCATCGTGAAAGACCGAAGTTAGAGAATGTCAAGATTCATATGATCACTTGGTGTACGTCTGAAATATAAACGCATAAAAATAAACCTAAATATTCGGTTTTTCACCGACGTATTTAGTATGTGTTAACATTTCACCATGTGAATCTTGATATTTTCCAATTTCAGTCTTTCACGATAGCATATAATACACGACAATATAATAATAAATAATAAAAATAATATATAAAAAAAATTCAAAATGAAAATATAATAATATAATATAATCAACGATCTATCCATGTTGAATTACTTCTTTCTGTCAGATTGCTAAAGTCTTAGCAACGTTGGCATGGTTAGTAAAATGGATGAGTGACCTATCCAGAAAAAAAATCACAAAGGACGAAAATCGTGTACAGTAACTTTAAACAAACGATTAAAAAAACGCGATTTTTTGGGTAGTATTAAATAGGTGTGAAAAGTTGATCGCAGAAAAGTGACTCAAATCCGTAAAAGAGAGAGTAAAAAGACACACACGTAAGAATAAAATATAATATCGATATATTTATAATAAAAAAAGAGTACTGTCACCTTTTTACAAATTTATATTATCATTTTTATTTTTATTTTTATTTTTTTTTCACACGTTCTATATAGTATTTTCCAGTTGATCTTTTCTTTTCTCTGTAAAAAGCACGAGGAACGAATTCCTTACGGAATACCTGTGGCACGAAGGTTTCTCCACAGGAATCCAGCGCACGTTTATATCTCCGTCTGGTTTTGGCGGGAATTAAGAACGAACGCGTGCGTACTCTTTTATCTCAACGGTACTTTTTTCAAAGTGACGAGAAATTTTTCTATACTCTGCCGGACAAATATTTGATATTTTAAAAATTAAAAAAAGTATACAAATGCACTTCATTAGATGTTTAAAATATGATACCTATCGAATGATTTTTTCATAAATTTATTAATCTATTTACCACCATATTATATAAATTTGTTAAAAAAATAAATCATAAACTTACTTTTTTGAGTAAGTTTAGTGTAATAAAAAGATTCATTCTTTTCTATTTTTCATCAGTTAAATTTTGTTCATTGTAATCACTTATCGTTGTTTATGACAACCATACTAATTTAGCGTCTAATCAAATTAATTAAAACTCACAGAAAAATGATTAAAAAAAATTATTAGAATAAATCAGAAATCTTGTAGTTATTTACGTACAACAAATAGTATTTCGTAATGTTTAAAAGATCTAGCTGCATTTCAGTTATCTCGCTTTAAGATTTATGAGCAGCAGGTACGCATATGTTGCAAAACATCTGTTTCCTGCGCGTAACCCGAGAAATTTCTTTGCCGATCGACAACGAGGATCGATAAAATTGAGTAAAATTGTTTTCTATCGATTTCGGTTTATGCTCTTCCGAGAAACTGTAGTTAACACACTTTTTTCTCAGCATTCCTTTCGAATCTATTCATAGCATGTGCAATGATCAAAAACATCAATTAGCATCGACTGTTTTACTCGAAAATTTCGTTTCATATATACTTGTCAAAATAATTTTAACATAAATCAATTTAACTTGTGTTGTTAGGATATTTTCCAAAATAGATTTCTATCAAAATAGAATTACTTTTTAGTATGTTTTGGTACCTCTCTCTTGGTCATATATGGGGCATTCCACGTCAAATCGGCCACTTTGACCCCGACCCCTTTCGATTTGGCTGAAAGTTTTTTATTCTATCCTACCCCATGAAAAACAATTTTCGGAATTTTTTTTAAATTTTTTACCAAACCCAAAAAAAATTATTAATTTTTGAAAAAATGGCTTTTTTTAAATGGTTATAACTTCTTCTAAATTCAACCTATTGGGACGATTTCTTTTTTTTAATTTTTGTTTTTAAATGTACTTTTTAGAAAAAAATACAAAAAAATTTTTAAATTATAAAATCCATGAAATTTTTGCATTTTTTGAGAATAATTGTTTTAATGATTTATTTTAGAATGAAATTATTTATACTCTAAAATAATAAATCATAAAATCACTTTTTAAAAATTTTTTTATTTAGTCCATTGTCAACATTACCGGCATATGTACCTACGTATAGTACATACAGAAAAGTTGCCAAATACAAAACTATTATCTTAATCGTAACTTGTTACTTTTTTGCTTTTATATGCCTATAAGGTACGGCATTTAAATTTCTCTGCAGCACCTAAATATCTCCAGGTCATTTTTTAAAGAAATTTTTAAATAAGCATTATTTATTTTTATGAAATCATATGTTTTTTAATACATTAAAAACTCATCTAAATGCAGCTTTTTATTAGTCGATTAGATCTCTAAATTATTTATTTTTTGCGTAAATATTATTATATAAAACAATCTAATTTTAAAAAATAAGATGTATTTTGTTATTATATATAACAATATATCATAGAAAAGTATTTATCATTTTACTAAATTTCTTGTTTTTTAAATTATAAAAACAGAAATAGATATTATTTACTTTCGATCGTGATTATCATTTTTCAAAAGAATCCAATTACAGAAGATAAAATATATTTTATTAATATATCATACATAGAAAAGTATTTATCTTTCTCTAAAGTGTTCTTTCTTTTATAAGTATAAAAATACAAATACACGTTAATAATAGTAAAATAGCGAAGGATAAATAATTCAAAATTAGATGTTATATAGAATGGTCGAGAACGAGGAACTAGATAGAAAGTATACAATAGTGAGAGAAGAGGTATACATGTATGTATTTACTTATATACATATACCTATGTATGTTTCGACGAGCAAAGCGAAAGTTTTCATGATTCTTTTTGTACGATCGCAACGAACCTGCCAATGAAACTATAGTAGAAAGAATGAACTTTCTCGAAAGAAGACAGGACAGTTTTTTCATTACCATATATCTTCAGGCTAGTCTGAACGATAGTATCTAGTCAGGCTAGATACTGGAACGATATTCGAAAACCGAAAATGGTTATGTCTGCTATTAGACTCTTATTTTGATATAAGTATTCTTACAGACACGAGAGAATTTTTCTACGCGTCTACACAGTGCGTGCTTATTTTCGTTTGAATTTACGATCCTCTTAACTTAGAAGAGAAACACAAGAGAGAATAATTTGTTATTTATATGAGTGCGTAAACTCAAAAAATAATTCAGGTTTATCGTTTGAGAAATTTTTCATTTTTCTAAGGTAAAATACATAAAGAAAATGAGGTAATATATATAATAAAAAACAAAGAAAGTACTTTAATTATCCAGCCCTTTTTTAAATTTTTTTATATTTTATTAACTTTCTATTCATTAGATCAGTACAGTAACCGAACGAAATAAATACAAATTAAGAGAATTAAAATAAAAATTAAAATATACAAAACTACGCGTTATCTAATTCTAATTATCAGATTATATAGTAATATATTTTAATTTTTTTTTTTTTGTTATTTTATTGTTAATTTAATCCAATTTATTTATTAGAAATATTATTTTTTTCTCTTTTTTGATTTCTAATAAATTGCGCTCCTTTTATTGCTAAACAGCAACAAATAAACCATTACTAATACTATTTAAAAAAATTTTTGATCAGTGTTTTGCAAAATAAAGTATAAATAATAATTTTTTTAGTATTTTAAATTAATACGTAGTATTAATAACAGAATGACGTATTAATACAAGATACATTCCGATATTTTATCACAAACGCTAAATATCTATTCAAGATACTAAATAAAAATGATTACAAATACTAAACCAGTGAATATCAATCATTTAAGTATCTCTATCATTTATATATTGTTCATGGATTCTTTCTTTCCATAATGTTCTAGATTGAAAATATTTCTTTAAAAATAAGATTCAAATATAAACAGTAAGAAACTTATATATTCGTACTTCAGAAACGTAATAACATAAGACATGTTTATTTACCAATTCCTAATATTCGATTAATTAAATTTTCCAAGCAATATGTAAATATTTTTCAAAATTTTTATTTCTAACAATAAGTTAACAGTAAAATTATTTCAGAGATATCAATACAATATATATATTTAATTTTCATATTCCTATTTTAAGGATACTGAAATTTTCAACAATATGTATATTTTTTTGGTAGATTTCTTTCCACAAAGTATATCTTCTTTGATTTCTAAAGATATTATTGACCCGTTCTAACACTAACTAGAAACCAGTTTAGAAGCGTGCTATGATACTTACCTACTCGTTATGTCAATGAGAACGATGTACGGCATTGGAGTAGATTGGAATGCCGTGTCGCGTCGGTAAGTTTTCCTCGGCACACACGCCGAAGGAGGACGTTCCCTCCTACTCCTCTTTCTCCACCTTCCCCTTGGTCTTTCTCTTCTTGAACCTTATTCATGAGGAGAGAAGAATCCAAGCTTCGTAGGTGGTTGGTTGCCAGCTTGCTTGCTTGCTAGTTCGCTGCTAACTCGCTTCCAAGCAATACCCATATTCATCCTCAGTGTCTTTCACTTCGTTCGTCCCTGTGTCCATTTTTCCTTCCTTTTCTCGTTTAAAAGGAGAACAAAAAAAAATTAAGGACGCGCGAACGAGCAACATAAATACTATCGAGTTAGGTAACACCAGGCTCACCCACTCACACATTACTTTTAAATTAATCAAATTATTACGAGCAACGATTAAGATTTAACAAACCAGTATATTTCACTGGATACCGGCTGATTCTTAAATTGCTTAAGATTTAAGGTAAATATCTTACTGTAAGATCGATAAAATTCTTCGTCATTGTTTAATTCACGAGTATAACGAGTCCAATAATTCAACAATTCTATGGAGATAATAGTTAATAATATGACAGTATATCAGATTTCTTTGAAAAATTCTAAATCGAATAATAATGAAATTATCAGTTTTTTTCGATTGTAATCTTTTAATTAAAGTTTTTTAAAATTTTAATTAATTTTAATAGTTGAAAAAATTAAAACTATTTTTTTTTTTAATTTGTTATTGATGACAATAAAAAATAGCGAATTTACTATTAATAATAAAAAGAAACAAATTTTTTAAAGTACAATAGCATCCACATTTGCAAAATCATTTTACTATTAAATCTAGAATATCATATAAATAATATAATTTAAGATACATAATTTAATAAACAATAAATAAAAAATATACCAAAATTTATGAGGTTTTTATATTATATGCTCACATTTATTTTTTTTATATATTAATTAAATAAATCTTGTTCGTATTTAAAAAATGCATAAATCGTTCATGTAAGAATAAATAAAAATAGTAATAAGTAAAAGAGCATTCAATTAAGCTATTATCAAAAAGAATGTATCTAAAAAGTATGATATTTGTAAAATTTTTGTCATCCATTGTTGTTTTCGATCAAAATATTCAAAATATGTTGTGCTCGATCATGACGCAATATCTGAGATCAAATCCGGTCGAGTAAGTCGATCGTGGATCTATAGATTATTATTTCATATTTACTTATCTACTTAAGAATCTTTCTTTTTTCCTTAATGATTTATTTCGCATTGACCAACATGAAAAATTATTAACAATGATTTACACAATTTCTACAAAAAATATTTTAATTTTAAAATCACAACCCAGTGAACACAAGACCTTAAAATGATGTCATACGTATGTTATACAGTGATCTTCAAATTTTTTCGTAGACATGACAGAATGGTAACTTATTTATGACCTCAATATAAAGTCATTTATTCTGACATAAAAATGACGTAATAATTCCATCATATTCTTACAGCAAAAAACGAAAGGTTGAATTTTTTTTTTGTAAACTTTGTATTTTGAGACTATAAATTAAGTATATAATATTGTAAAATTGTTTAATTGCATTAATTTATTTAAAAAAAAAAAAAATTAAAAATATTTTTTCAATTAAATAAAAAAAATAGGAAACTAGCTCAGCTTACTATGGGACTGGCGGGGATAATCGCAGATTTAGACAAAGTTTTTTTCTAGAAAATACAAAAAAAATGGAAAATGACGAACTTCGAGAAAATAACGGTTTTTCTCAAAAAATACGAAAATTTCATGGATTTTATAATTTTGAAATTTTTTTGTATTTTTTTCTGAAAAGTACATTTAAAAACAAATATTTTTAAAAAAAACGTTCCAATAGGTTGAATTTTAAAGAAGTTATAGCCATTTCAAAGAAAAGAGCCATTTTTTTCAAAAATTAAAAATTTTTTTTGGGTTTGGTAAAAAAATTTGAAAAAATTCTGAAAATTGTTTTTCATAAGGTAGCATAGGATAAAAAACTTTCAGCCAAATCGAAAGAGGTCGAGGTCAAAAGTTATCGATTTAACGTGGAATGCCCCATATATATATATACATATATATATATATATATTAGGGTGGGTCAAAAAAATCAATTATTCATCATCAAACTTTCATGTGTACTGATTTCTGTCTCTGAATATCTTTTGAACGCTTAATTTAATCGCCAAAACATAAGACACCATTTTTATAGAGCAGTTAATTTCCTACAARAATTTGTATTGYRCAYTTTWTAATAGTCATTTATTGTCGAGTTATAAAATTCATAAACAAAAATGAAATTTGTCTTAAAATAATTAAACTTAAATCTTCAATATCATTCAAATGGTGAGGTTTACGAAAAAAAGATAAGATACCTTTTTTGTAGAGCATTAAATTTCCTACAAAATTCTTCCGGAACATTTTTCTGTACAATCAATAAATAATGAGGTATGAATTTTAATCTATTGGATTGACAAAAAAATAAAAAACTGCGATGCGGAGGATCTTCCTATTAAAATTAAGAGCTCATATTTGGTGAGAATTGTTTTAAGGTGTCTAGCAACCCATTTTTCCGTAGCACTTGTAAACAAAAAAATAATTCATTTTTTTGACCCACTCTAATATATATATATGTATTAAAAAAAACGGTGACGGTAAGTCACCTTATAAGTATATATTTTCAGTGCATTAAATAAATATATCTAATGGTTACTGTACCACCGGTGGTACACGTGGCACGGAACGTGTTAATTATAATTTATATTATTAATTTATAGTATATATTATTATTTAATAATATTGGTAATTATATATGGATTAGTAGTTTAATGGAAATTAGCACAAGTTCGCATGGCTCAGTGAGGCAAATCACCATCCAGTAGTAATGTCCATCCAGTAATCGTATGTTCTCGAGCTCTAATCCCGAGGGCGAAAAAAATAATTATACGTCATATACTAGTAAGAAATTCGACACAACTAGACATCTTTATGACATCATTGCTTTTTTGTTCTTTTGTTTCGTCAGGTCAGCTTAACGTCATATTTATTACGTAAAAGTCTTACGTCAATAAGTGTGAAATAATGAGTCATATGTGACTCATATCTGACTTATATCTTACGTAAATCCAGACATAGCGCAAAATCATTTTGACGTCATTTTGATGTAATTGTGTTCACTGGGTAGCAACGTGGACACAATTAATAAAATTGGATAGGTGACCTATCTATAGGCTTACTCCCGAGAAATGATAAAAAAACTTGATCTCTTTGACAGTATTAAATAGGTGTGAAAATGCTAGTATAAATGTGATTCGAACCCATAAAAAGAAAGAATAAACAAACTTCATTACCCATCGAAAATTCTAATGCTAAATCTTGTTAGATCAAATCGTTATCGGCAAAATAAATGAATTAATTAATTAATCTATTTATTTATAATATAATTTATTTTTCTTAGGTCCATCTCATTGAAAGAAGTGGAGCTCGAAAGGCTCGAGTCAAAACGCCCATGCCGGACTGCGGGAAAAAATTGCAGGAAAAGAAGAAGAAGAGAAGCAGAAGGAGGTGAAAAAACGAGAAAGGAAGCAAGAAATAAAATAAAACGAATAATCGTCGCGATCATCATCGTTTAAAATTCAAAACGAAGAGAGATCGTGACGTTAACGTAAACAAAAAGAAAAAAAACGTTTCTCCAAAATGGCGTCAATTATCGTCACGCGACTCCTAATTTTTCTTACTTTGATAACGTTATCCTGGAAGATAGTAAATTCTCATGTCGCTTTGACTTTTCCACGAGCGAGAACATATGATTTGGATTTTCTCGACAATGGCAGGACACCTGGCCCCTGTGGTATGCCACGTGGTAAGTAACCAACCTTACGTAATATTTATTATGACCGAGATGTAATATAGTAACTTAATACGGGAGTTGGATATGAATGGTACACGTAAGTAAATCAGAATGGTTAATGTAAGGATAAATGCAAAATGACAGAAAATCGAATAAATAAGTGATAGTAATTATTAAAAAACAATAATGAACGAAATAAAATAAATATAAAATAAATCAAATATTTTTCGTAAAAATATTTTTCAAACTGAAAGATTCTTTAATATGTATTTTTCTTCCAATCTTCTGAAATTGAAATATTGATCTCTGTTGCACATGTAAATTCAATTTATAACATAATAAGATTTTAAAATGATAATTATACAAGTCCTTAAATTCGATAACATCATAAATTTAATATTTTGTAACAATTATACTTGTATTCACAATTTCAAAACTATTAAGATATAAATTCCAACCCTTTTGCTACACCTTACTTATACTTATAAATAACAAACTAATGAATAACCTAAGAGGTGTTACCTAAGATAAAGTCTCAAATACGATTTGTGCGATAAAACGTTTAAAAACTAGTCTCTTAACACATTTCGTACCACGGCAATTTTTGAAGATTTTCTATTCAGGCCGCGTGGGGCGTATACAACCCACACTTTAAAGATTAAATAAAGTTGTTTAGGACGTATGCTTTACATTTGTTCAATTTTACAAAGCTATAATTGGCAGGAGAAATATATAAATTTTAATATGCATTAGAAAACAAAGCAATAATGTTAATTTTAAAGGATTATTTTAAATTTTTAAAGAATTTTTAGTTTTTCAATGAGAATTCCAAGTAGCCTGAACGGAAGTACAGCGGAGGTCGTATACGCCCCACACAGCACGGAACGTGTTAATCATAAGAAATTCGATGAAAAAAAGTATAATTTCAAGAGACTTCTACTATTATCATTTGAAAGAAAGAAAATAAGAAAGTACAGTTGTGACTAGTTGGTCGATTCATCTTGAACGATCCCAAGAACCACATGCATATATTTTCGTTTTATAATACGTAATGCAACTATACTATGTAAGTTCATCGTTGCAAAAAGGATTGGAGAGGAGAAGAAGACAAGGTCTATGGGAAAACGACATTAACGCGGAGAGTCAATCTCTATGGTTCTAAGAGTAGGGGGTGCAAAGGGGGAGAAGGAGAGGGAGAGAGAAATATAGTCGAAGCTAGTTCGATACGAAGCAACTTTCTCTGAGAGCTGGTATGAAGGGAGCTGGTACCACTAGTGTCTTATATTCTCATGGAGCATTACCTTCCACATCATAGATATATCTACACACTTGTGTATGTATATCTCTTGGCTCTTGCATACGTGAATTTGCCTTCGAGGGCACACGTGTAGTATCATTTATATCTCTATAAGGTGTTCATAATTTATTCATTTAACTAGAAATTAATTGAAAAGAAGTATTAATAATTTTCATTTGAAAAAAAATACATAAATTATATTTATTATATATATACTAGGATACTCCGGCTACGCGTTGCTATGGCTTTGTTATAAAATATTGATTTAATAAACAATTTAGTAAATTATAAGAACACACAAAATAATACCACAATTAGAGTGGAATATATAAAATAATAATACTCTCGAAAACATAAAAAACAAGGTAAGTTATGTCATATGTAAATCTGAAAAAAAAACGTATGACGTGAATATATCGAAATAATTGAATTGTAATACAGCGTCATCTATTGAAAACTCAGAGTACCTAGAGACCTAGATAACCTTTAAATAACAAATCCTTAAATCAGCAATAAAAAACAAAAATAATCGCGATAAAAACTATTCTATACACTAATTGAAAATATCACCCAAAATTAACAAAATTTCATTAAGATAGGTTCAGTAGTTTCGAACTTCATTGGAAACCAACAACGGGACACACACACACACACACACTGAATTTTTATATATAAAAATATATATGTTATATTTTATAATTTATTTTATTAACGAAATAATCATCATGATTAAAATCAAAGATACTTTAAAAGTTTTGCAGATCTATATAAACATTCAAAAATAAAAATATCAACATTGAAAATATAAAAATATATTTTGAATTTAGAAATGATCTCAATGATATTAAAGTAAATTAATAAAAATATAATAGTATACTATACATATACGTGTGCATATGATCATTGACATACACTTCAAATACATATAGAGAGCATTACATACATAACATACCAGTTGAGTATTGCAACGTTTTACTAGAAACTACTGTACGTTTGAGCCTCCATTTATCACGAAAGTGTGAGTAAGCGGTATATAATAAACATATAGTACTTTCCAAGCAACTTTCCGTTCACTACATATGTACGCGTACATATAAGGTTCTATGAAGGTATGCTTGAAATGCCACATTCATGTACTCACAGTCTTCCTTTCGAAAACGAATAAAAAACATAGATAAAATATACGGTAACGTGCAATTGTTAAAAAGAGTTCATGTATGTTTTGAAAAATAATTTAAGGAAATTTTTTAACAAAATTCCTATTTTTCTAACGTGAAATACATAAAAACGTAAAATAAAAAGCAAGGGAAGTATTATGATTTTATCGAATATAAAGTACCTGGCAAAGGCTAAGAAAGGTCTTATCTATTTTTATTTTTGTATTCTTCAATTTATTTGATCAGTATATTAAAATATTTTTGATCAGTATTTTGTAAAATAAATATATGTATATATAATATATTTTGTTCAATATAAATAATAATTTATCAGTATTTTAAATAGTTATATAGGTTGATATTTATTTATTAACAGCTTATTGGCTCAATAAATGAATTTTAGACTACATCTTACAATTAAATACAGAATGCTCCTTACAGACTAAAATAGACTTGGGTTTACAAATTATATCAAATATCACTTTATATAAATTATAGACACTTTCAATCTATTTTCATGTTTACTAATAGCTTACTTTTCTATTAATTACAGCACTCTTTATATTTCTATTATCTTAACAAGCAAATACATTCTTTAACGTATAAGCAAATTACATAAATTATATAAATTAATGCTTTCCCATACATCATAAAACTTCAAAAAATAAAAATATACATTAGTTCTTACATTAATTAGACTTAAGTTTTGAAAGTAATATTTTAACTACTATAAAATACAACTATATCGATATTATGTATACAAAATTTGAAATTAGTCGAATAAAATTTGTCTCTTTGCATGATTTTCCTGATTAAAAATATTTCTTTAAAAATAAAATACGAAGATCGTTTTATATACATCAGGAAACATAAATATTTATATTGTAAGAATGTACTTACTTATATAATATAATATATGTTTATTTTCATATATATTTCTACTGTGCGAATAATTAAAAACTTTATTTTATTTTATAATATTATTCATGTATTTATATTTTTTTTTTTAAATATTTTTATTAATTAAAGTGAAACTTCTTAAGCGAAGATAACGATAACATTTTATGAAACGACAAAAAAAAGAAAAAGAAGAGAAAGAGAATGAGATAGAACAATAGAGATATTACAGATAGAGGTAACAAACCATAGGCGGTTGTGTAAGTAGAAATGTCTCTGCATGAATATAGCAGCAAAAAACAAAAGGTTGATGTTGTCTCTCTCTAACTCATGCGGTATCGGCATGAGAACTAAAATCAGCTACCTTAACCTAGGGATCCTATAGGAGGGATGCGCCATGTACATTGCTGGGGGACCGGAACTCGATTTTGCGCGCGAATGATTCAAACATTGAAATAATTATGAAATAATGAATTGCATCAAATAGAGAAAAAAAATGAACTATATTTAATGATAATTAAAAATTTATATTAAAATAGAATAGGTTACACGAAAAAATTATTAAAAATTCAATAAGAAAGACTTAATTAAGTTTGATTTGATAAAAGGCATTACAGTATTTTGAAATTTCAAAACAATTTGTAGGAATTTATACAATTTTGATAAATATAATTATCTACTATATATATTATATAAATAATAATAATAATAATAATAATAATAATAAAAATAATAATAATAATAATAATAATAATAAGACAAATATATAAAACAATGAAAAAATAAATTTATTTTAACATATTTTTATTTCTCAATGTGGTACATGGTCATAGTTTTRCTCGAACTGAGATTTGTTTGCTTAAAATTTTGTAAATTTTTGCGATTATACCTACGYGATRGTAYAARGTATTTACGGTYTTGCGTAGTTCTTGTTGAACTTTTGCAGTAATTAAGAATACATTGTCGAACCATGATTATTCATCACAAACAATAAGTCTGTAAACAAACGATAAGTTATAGATTAGGTTTGTACATTTATATTTGTAACTATTAAATGAGTAAATTAAACTTACACTTATAGAAAACTACTAAAAAAACAAAATAATTAAACATAAATATCACAATAAAAACTATAAGTATTCCAAACTTAAACTAATATCAGCCGTTAATACATACTAAAGATAAACATGGCTGCGCGTTGGATCGGAAGCGGTCCTCCAAAATTTTCAGCCAATGGCACATGAAGTGAATATGTATGGCGCATCCTTCCTACAGGATCCCTACCTTAACCTCTACTAGCAGACTAATGCGCATGCGCCGCTCAGCGCAAGTTAGAAAGAAACAACATCAACCTCCTATCTTCTATCTCTTGTTATTTCGATGACAGGTTTTATGCTGGCTTATTTGCTTTATGTGTAATATTTCTATGGATAGAACCCATAGTCTATCGACAGTTAAGTTAAATGAAATTATGGAAGGCTCTAATGTTAGTGTAGTGTGTGCTGTGTGTGTATACGTGTGTATGAGATACGTCGATCGATAATTATTGCGAGATGCATTTATTTATAGAAGTATAAGTGGGGATGAACATACCTTAAGAGTGTTCGACATATTGTAAATGACTGTTAATTAATCGATGAAAATGTATATTGTAGTCTAAA